TGTGTGTGTGTGTGTGTGTAGACAGATGGGCTGCACTATAAGAAGAGACAGTGTAATTCATGAGGCTCTCTGAGTGCCCCCACCCCACCCCAAAAAACACAAAAGAGAAACCCCTCTAACGCCACAAGTTCTGATCCCACAAAACACACACAGACACACACTTGTGTTCACACAGTCTTGTTTTATGCTACGAGCAGAGGATGGCCAGGAAATTAGAGCATCTGTCACCAGGAGTTTGAGATATCTAGTTGCTGGACTGCATTCACACATGTACATGCAGCCAGAACCTGTGTGTGTGTGTGTGTGTGTGTGTGTGTGTGTGTGTGTGTGTGTGTGTGTGTGTTGACTGACAGAGGTTTCACAGTGGGGTCAGTGTCTACAGGGAGCCACAGCGGCTCAGTCATGTCTTAATGAGGCTCGTCAGGCTCTCTGCATCTTTACTCCTTCCCCTCTGAATTTCTCCTTCCTCATCACCTTTTTCTTTTTTTCCCCCTACTCCACGCTCCCGTCACTCATCCATCCTCTTCCTGTTCTCTCACTCCCCACCTATGAGCTCATACTCTCYTGCCGTATGCCTGCCTTCATCCTCCCTCTTCTGCCTCAATCCATCTTTTATCCGTCTCTCCTCCATCCTCACTCATCTTTTCCTCCTTCCACATTTCCTCCTCGCTGTAATCCTTTTCTCTCTCTCCCCCCACCACCACCCCACCCTCTCATCCTCCTCATCCTCCTCAGAGGCCACTGAATGGGCAGCTCAGAGGAGGAAAAGTGTTGAGGCTGCAGGATTTCTCCCCGAAGGGCTTAATCTRCCGAGGCTCTGCGCGTCGATAGCCTCCTGCACACCGTTCCCTCAACAATGACTGTCTGTCTGCACAGTCACAGCAGATAAAGAGATGTTTCTCTCTTGTGTGTGAGTGTGTGTATGTGTGTGTGTGTGTGTGTGTGTGGCTTCCTGTCTGTCTTTGCCATCCCTGCAGTCTTTTTGAACATATTCAGTTTGCTGTTTTTTTTTTTTTCCCCACCTCTACCGGCCCTTGTGATTGACAGGCCCTCAAAGATGCACACGTGCGTGGGCGGTTATTTTTAAATGTGCAGCAGCTGGGTGTGTGTGTATGTGTGTTTACGTGCACGCGTAAAAGGCAGAGGTGTGCGTCAGCGCATGCATTTGTACCTGAACRTGTTGTGCATTGGTTTGTGCCTACGTGGGAGGCTGGAGTCACGCACCGGGCATGAAATGGCCGGGCTCACATGGCGAGCGTGGGCGTCGCTCCTCTCCGGTAACAAAGTAAGGAAGCCATCGCTGCTCCCGTCAAATGTCAGGGAATCTTAAGTGTGCCTTTTAAAGCACAATAGGCGGTGAAAATGTCAACACTTGAAGGGTCTATTACACTTCAAGCCTTTGGCACTTGTTTTTTTTTTTTCCTTTTTACCTACGCTTTCACAGAAATCTGGGAGAAACTGGCTAAAAAATATATCAACCCACTTATGCTGAACAAATTCAATCATTTCAGTGTCAAAGTGTTTAAGTCTAKTTTTGATGTGAATATGCCTGATTTCTCTCCTTTGTGTGATGCTTTTCTTCATCTGGCCATTGAGCAGCAGCTCCATGATGTTGTGGAGATGTTTGTCCCTTTTTAAGTTTAATATAATGTCCGTTAGATATAGAGATCCCCCCCAGGAGCATCAGCAGACACATAAACACCGTCACATACAGTGCTGCCACAACCAATGGCAATAAAAGAACCACCAGTCTGTGTGTGAGACTTTGTTTCTGCGCAGTCACAATTTTCATATACGTGTCCCTTTTGTGCACGTGGGTTTTCTGCGTTCAGCGTGTTTGCACGAGATAACGCCAAGAACGAAAGCGGCTGCGGCCGTCGGGGTGCGGGCRGAGAATGGGGTTCTTTGTTGCGGCATTAGCCTCTCATTATCGAGCCGGGGTGACCCCGTCGGAACCCCGCTAGACAGGCCGTCTGCGTGTCACTTCCTGTCTGAGCCTGCRGAGCGACGCCACTGGCAGACTATTGTTCCTGGGAGAGCGCGATAGGATCGGGGAATGTGTCCTAATGTTTGCAGATTGGCTTGCCGGAGCAACAATTACACTTGGAGGAGCGCTCCCTGTGGAGAAGCTCGGAGATAAGAGCCTGGGTGTGGAAGAGGGTGAAAAAGGATCTGTGTGTGTGTGTCTATATGTGTTTGTGTGTGTGTGTGTGTGTGTGTGTGTGTGTGTGTGTGTGTGTGTGTGTGTGTGTGTGTGTGTGTGTGTGTGTG